TGGACTGCTCTCTGGAGATGAACATGAGCCTCATTCCACATCTCCTCGCTTCGTTGTAGCCATGAGTTAACGGCCGGGAGTTCTGATGGTTCCCCGGACCATGGGAATAATGGGGGTTGGAAACCCAGGACACATTGGAATGGGGTGATACCTGTCGCAGGTTTGCGGAGTGAATTCTGTGCATACTCGGCCCATAGTAAGTAGCGGCTCCAGTCGGTCTGATTGCGATGGCAGTATGATTGGAGGAAACGAGTGAGTTCCTGATTTAGACGTTCCACCTGACCGTTCGACTGTGGGTGATACCCGGAGGTGAGACTGACATTGATGTTGAGCTGTCGGCAGAAAGCGGACCAGACTCGGGAGGTGAACTGGGGGCCCCGATCAGAGACTACGTCTTCAGGAAGGCCGTAAAACCTGAATACATAGCTGCAGAGGACCTCGGCTGTCTCAAGAGCAGTGGCTCAGTCATGATGTCCCATTGTACGGGTGCGAGAATGATGGTAGCCGGAATGATGGATTCCTGACTGGGAGACAGTGTGGACGATTCATAGAGTCGAGATAGATAGGGCATCCGCCTTAGTGTTTTGAGAGCCTGGACGGTAGGTTATTGTGAAGTCAAATCTGGTGAAGAATAGTGACCATCTTGCCTGTCTATGATTGAGTCTTTTGGCTGATTTCAGATATTCCAGATTGCGGTGATCGGTGAGTACAATAAAGGGGTGTTTGGCTCCCTCGAGCCAGTGACGCCACTCTTCAAAGGCGACCTTCATGGCAAGAAGTTCTCGGTTGCCCACATCGTAATTCTGCTCGGTGGGATTGAGTTTCCGGGAATAAAAGGCGCAGGGATATAACTTAGGCGGGTTACCATGTCGTTGAGAGAGAACTGCCCCAATGCCCGTGCTGGATGCGTCCACCTCCACAATAAACTCTCGTTCTGGGTCGGGATGGTACAAGATGGGTGCGGTTGTAAATCTCTCCTTGAGGGTCTGGAAGGCTGAACGGGCTGCTGAGGACCATTCGAGGCGTTGACTACCCTTCTTAGTCATAGAAGTCATGGGAGCTGCCACTGTGCTGAAGTTACGAATGAATCTCCGATAGAAGTTGGCAAATCCTAGGAAGCGTTGTAGTTCCTTTACGGTGGCAGGTAGAGACCAGTCGACAACGGCTCGTACCTTCTTGTCGTCCATGGCCACCCCTCCTGAACTGATCACGTATCCGAGGAATGATACTGTCTCCTGATGAAACTCACACTTCTCCGCTTTTGCATATAGCTGGTGGCTGATGAGACGTTTTAAGACCGCCCGGACATGCTTGACATGATCCTCGTACGAGTCTGAGTAAATTAGGATGTCTTCAATGTAAACAATGACCCAGCGATTTAACATGTCTCTGAACACATCATTGATGAAGGCCTGGAACACTGAAGGACTGTTGGCAAGCCCGAACGGCATAACAAAATACTCGTAGTGCCCAGTTGTGGTAGAGAAAGCAGTCTTCCATTCATCACCCTCACGGATGCGAATGAGGTTGTAAGCAGTCCCAGAATGACAGGTGTACGTGGGGATTGGAATACGAAGAGGCGGATAAGTTCGGTGTGAAGAGCTCCAGTGCATAATTGAAGGTCCGTGGTAGTAAATTGGATTTGGCCAGTGCCCAGCGGGCGGCCATCTAGCACTGCCACATGAGACGTACAGGGAACAAGAGGAATATTATGAGTTTTGGCAAAACTAGCATCAATGAAATTTCCTGCAGCCCCTGAGTCTATCAAAACCATAGCCTCCATGATCTGCCCATTAAATTTTAAGATGACTGGAATCTCTAAAGCAGTGGAAGTACTGAAATTCGGACTCACCGGAGACAGATTGCGAGGTGGCCGCGTGGGACAGGAAACTCTCATGTGTCCAGATAGTCCGCAGTATAGGCACAGATTCTGGCGAATGCGTCTCTCTCTCTCCCTCCCTCTGAGATGAGTAACGCCGATCTGCATGGGTTCTGTGTCAGGAAGTGGCAATGACGCACCGACTGGAGCCGAAGAGAGCCGAGTCTGACGACGAGAGCGAAGGAGGTTGTCAATCCGAATGACCAGTTCGATTAATTGATTCAAGGATCTCCCCTCGTCTCGACAGGCTAATTCAGACTGCAGTTCTATGCTCAGACCTCTGCGGAAGTGTAGTTTGAGAGGATCCTCCGGCCACCCTGTTTGTGCAGCGAGAGTGCGGAACGAGAGAGCGTAATCCGACGCCGAACCTCTGCCCTGGCGTAACGATAACAGCTGCTCGCCCGCCTCCTTTCCATCAGCGGAATGTTCGAACACCTCCTTGAACCGCTGGATGAAGGCCGAGAAGGAAGGAAAGACACCCTGATTCTCATTCCACACCGCGGTAGCCCACTCCAACACCCTTCCAGTGAGAAGCGAACAGACAAATGCGATGCAACTATCGTCTGTGGAATACAACATAACCCATGTTGGTGAACAAACATGGAACATTGGAGTAGGAAACCCTTACATTTTGAGGGTGAGCCATCAAACTTCTCGGGGAACGCCAAACGAGGGCTGGCGGTGGAGGTAGGTGAAACCGGGGCTTGAAGCGGTGGATTCGGAGGAGAGGTGTGGGCTTCGGGTGCTTGCAGACGAAGGGCTTGCAAGGTCTTTTACCATCTCCTCTGTTAGCGAGGTAAGTCGGTTTAATTGTTGCTGGTGTGTGGCCAGAACCGATGCTTGAGCAGATACCTCTGTGGTGAAGTGATAGAACACTGCTGGATCGATTTCTGGCGAAATCTTCTGTAACAGTTCAAACTTTTTTAGTTCCGTTTTAAGGACTGCCTTATACATACATATATACACACACACACACACATTTATAATGTTACAAAAAAATTTTATTTCAAATAAATGCTGTACTTTTGAACTTATTTTGAACTCTGTTCATCTAAGAATCCTGAAAAAATCAACATGGGTATTAATAAGAATTTTAACATAACATAGCAACATTGACAGTAATATAAAATGTTTCTTGAGCTGCAGATCAGCATATTCAAAGAATTTCTGAAGGATCATGTGACACTGATGACTGGACTAATGGCTATTAAAACT